TGGTGATACTGGCTTTAGCACCAGAAGATATGATGACAGCCTTAGAACGAATTTACAAATTTGACCTTTGTGACCCTCACGTTCGTCAGAAGTAAACATTTCTATATTAAATTATTGACTAAGATTCCAACTATCGTTCATTTGAAATAACAGACAATAGTGTTTGCTTGGTAGTTGATGGAGATGGACAGAAATCTACAAGAATGGCTCCCTAGGTCACCAGAAGTCCTGTGATTTGGATTCTACATCTAAAAATGTTCAGGACATATTTGTGAATCAACACAGAACATTTTATGCTACTATGTAAAAGCGCACAATTCGGCCAATTTTGGATGCATAACCGCCTCACTACTAGCATTAACTTTTGACAGGCAGTTTAACTTCCCCAACCACATTAACCCCATGATAACCTGAACCTCCAAAGGCACCAATGCACTGAAAGTTGCAGCAGGAAACAGAGCTGGAGAATATCACCCAATTATGTTCTACCAAAGTTTTATATGCTCCACTTTTGGATTATGGAATGTTAATGATTAGTGCTATGTAGCTGGATAAAATTGAAAAGGTACAAAAAAAACTGTTTAAGTCTGGTTAAAGGATGTACTTCAACTACCTATATCAATCGGTAGTAGCATTAAAAATTATCAAAAACATTTACTAGCAAATCCTTAACTAGGGCCTTCTAGTATAAAGATCATACATTCAATCACTGATCCGTTGCTCTTTTTCATTTGGGACATTACGAAAACCCCACAGCCACCAACCAAGCAGAGGATTGAGTAAAAAACACTTCAGAAGACAGTCATGGGTTGACAGTTGCTATACAACAACCACTTAGGTAATTAGTCATCGTCACATCTCAAAAACCTCCATATCAAATAAACAGCTGGCGCCACTGGGATCTGTGTAAACCGCTCTAGAGAGAAAATGTAAAGACTAGACAAAGGGTAAAACGGAAAAATTATATTCTCATCTTTCAAAAAACATGGTGGACAGTCACATGTCCTCTTAACCATAAATGTTTCCTGCATCACAGATAGTGAGAGAACTAGTTGAACATTCATCATGCACAGAGAAATAATATTCTGCATAATGCTGGTGAAGCATTCAAGCTTCTCACAAACAGCACAATGATGAAGATGAAACCCATAAAGCAAGTTTTTCTCTAGATTGTTGAAATCAATAAACTACAAATATAAAGTGTCTTTTAAATAATATTTTCAACTGGCTCACAGGCAGTACTGTAAAATTTTGTAAAAAAGTACGTAGTCCCCAGATCGAGAGCAGAAAGTAAAGCAACTACATGGTAAGACCATCACTTGGATGTATGTACTAGGCCATGCATGGGTAATGTTAAACGAGACGGCTGGCAAGCTCACAAGATAAGCCCCAATAACAGATCTGGCATAATTGTACTGACCTTCTCCGTACTAGAATGACGAAAGTTACAACCATGGAAAATTTTCATCGACATTCAGAGGGAATTAAATTCCTGGAAAACTAAGCATAACATGGTGTAGCTTAGAAAAGCAAAAGATGGGGAATCAATAGAGCAGTATACAACCAAAACACAACAGGTAACATTAGTAAAGGACCATAGTTTTCAGAAGGGTTTTACTTGCTAAAAAATAAATATTAACTGATCAGTTTAAAATGCATAAGGCCAGAAAAAAATTTTCAGAGAAGAGATAAACTCCTTTTAAACGTGGATCTTTGAAATAATTCTTAAATACATTTCACTGTATTATTCAAACATTGAACAAGATTTCAACAACTTAAACAATGTTAATCAGTGAAATGTTGTATTTAGTACTGGAACCGTAATCAGACAACGATGATCGTTTCGATATCCAGTACTGGAATCGTAATCAGACAACGATGATAGTTTCGATAGTTATTACTGAAACCGTAATCAGAAAACGATGATCGTTTCGATATTCAGTACTGAAACCGTAATCAGACAACGATGATCGTTTCGATATTCAGTACTGGAATCGTAATCAGACAACGATGATCGTTTCGATATCCAGTACTGGAATCGTAATCAGACAACGATGATAGTTTCGATAGTTATTACTGAAACCGTAATCAGACAACGATGATCGTTTCGATATTGGATTCAAAATTTATTTAGATAAGCATTGTTGATTCCTTATTTGTCCAAATAATAATAAATAACAATAAAAACACTCGTTATGGGTCTTAGAAATATCTTACAATTTAGTTTTAAAACCTATAGCAGCCAACAAGAAACCAATGAATAGAGTGAGCATTTAGTGTTTTTATACGTGGTAAAAAAGGGTAATCATCTTTTTTTTGCATATAACTTTCGCAAAAACATTAAAACTACATAACAAAATCTTCAATTTGTGTACTTTTAATAATGGCCTCTCTTGAAAGCAAGTGCTTAAAAAGGTGTAGAGGAGGAGAAACACAGACATTTAAAAAATAATTTTACAATATTTTCGAAGATTTATTAAGCCTGTATTTTATTTTTACAACCCTGACTGAATAACATTTACTTCAATATGCTAAACTGATATTTAAAGCACGGTCTGATCTCTTCCAGTGAAAATAAATCATATACTATTTTAAACTTCAAGCATACGATAAAAAATAAAATATCTACTAGATTACCACTGATGTATTGATGACATAACAGCACGTTGCATAATCATAAAATATTATAACCACACACGTATCAAGTTACTATATACGTTACTTTCAACAAGTGAACCGATAATCCTTCTTCTCTGATTTAAAATAACCAAATTGCACTAGTTAACTTTGATAACTGAATATCGGATAAAACATTGTTTTCCTGATACCATAGTTATATCTGTCAAACCAAAAAAGTTCAGTTAAACAACTTGATTTAACCTACTGATTCATAGTTATATTTGTCAAACCAAAAAAGTTCAGTTAAACAACTTGATTTAACCTCCTGATACCATAGTTATATTTGTCAAACCAAAAAGTTCAGTTAAACAACTTGATTTAACCTCATATCAGGAGGTTAAATCAATTGTTTAACTGAACTTTTTTTGGTTGTTTGACAAATATAACTATGGTATCAGGAGGTTAAATCAAGTTGTATAAAATAACAGTCAATACTGTTGGAAATGTAAACATAACCACAGTCACCTATAGAGTGTACTTGTAGCGATCACAAATCCCTAGATAGCGCTAGCGTTCAGTTTTTTTATTTTTTCTAAATCTGTTCTATTTACTTTTGTCTGGTACGTTGTTTGAACATTATACAAATTCTTCTGAGTTTAACGTTTTTTAAGGTTTTACTATAACTACCCAAATTAATAACTTAAACACCATGTATTTAGTTAAAAAAAGGTCAGGTTAATTGCCTGCATTTGGTTGATGAATGTTTAACCTATAAACAAACATATTACAGAATAAATATAGAAAACGTCTTTCCCTATAAGACTCGAACACAGAATCTAATAGATTTTCGCTTCATAATATTTGTACGTAGGTTATATATAATCGTGTTTGATTGGTACGTTTAGCAAGACGTATTAATTTTAAAATATATTTACCATTTCAATGAATTATGCAAATTTATTAAGGAAAATAAGTAAGAATTATTAGATCTACTCATTCTAAGATCCTCATATTCTTGACAAGTGTTTCGAAAACAAATAAAAATGAAGAAGTCGATTTATCACAGAAACAAACACTCGGTAGACATTTAAAATGAAAGATTTAACATGTAAGGAAATCTGATATACTCCTTTGTGTATCTTCTGACTTCTGTAAAGACAGAATTTAAATGCAATATTCAACACTTAT